TGGGGGTCTGGCCCCATTGACCCCAATGGAGCTCTGGGCGGTTCCCAGCAGCTGGGGGTCTGGCCCCCGACTCCCTGGCCCCGGCACCGACAAACTTTTCGTGCCCCGCAAGGCTTCCAGCAGGAAATGAGCCTCCTCCAGGATCCGCTCCTCGATGCCTCGCTTCCCCACCCCGAAGTTCCTCAGTGTGGTGATGGAGAACCGGCGCAGCTGCTTCGCCCGCTCCCCGTTGCTGAAGACCACTCCTGGGGGGCAGAGAGAGCAAGGCACATTTCCCAACCAGAACATGCCGCGGGGTCCTGTACAAGCATATCACCGTAACAGACAATTCCTGCCCCCCAAAATGCGGGGGTGGGGGGGCGCGTGCACCTGGGCGTGCACACACACACGTGCACGGTGGGGAATTGTGCAGCAATTCCCCAGGTAATATTGTCCCTATTTCCCCCCCTCCAACTTGCAATGAGAGCTGCAGCTCTGCGTCTCGAGCAGGTAGGAGGCAGCTCCCTGCTTTGATCTGCGGGTGCAGAAAGATTTTCCCAGTTGCTGGGAACGGCCGAGCCAGACACCCTGTGACGTTACTCACATAACCTGTGACCGTATAGATCATTGTTGCAACCACTGGTATCTATTTGCAGCAAGTGTTGTACAAAGGTTGTGGAGTGAGGTGTCTCTGGAAAGGTTCTGGTTGGCTGGTTATGATGCTGCTGTCTGTCTGGGTGTATCATTTTTGTAGGTGAAGTTATGAATATTGGCTCTGTCCTTGTAGCTCAATGTGTTTGATTCTAAGGAGCCTCGGCGAAGCATTTGGGCAGCTTCTTGAGAAAGGACGATTCTCAGTAAGTGCCCCGTCGAGAAACGCTTCACGGACCATGGACTTTGGGAGATGCCGATCCCTATCTGAGCTTCCCTGGGAACATTCAAACTAACATGGAAACCATGGCGTCGGCCTGCAAACTGAGTCATGCACGGACGTGTGACTTGCCCATGTGACTCCAGACTCCATCTTGCTGTGATCTTGCACAGGAAGACTATAAAAGGCTGCTGGAGCTCCTCCATCTTGTCTTCAATCCTGCTTCTTGCCTCTGGAGGGACTTTGCTACGAATGGAAGCTCTGAACAAAGGACTGAGGACCCAGCCCAGCTGGGGATGTTCCAGAGACTTGATTTGAACCTGCAGTTTATTCTATCGCTGCTACAAGCCTGAACCAAGAACTTTGCCATCAATGTATGTAATTGATTCCATTTAACCAATTCTAGCTCTCATCTGTATCTTTTTCCTTTTATGAATAAACCTTTAGATTTTAGATTCTAAAGGATTGGCAACAGCGAGATTTGTGGGTAAGATCTGATTTGTATATTGACCTGGGTCGGAGGCTTGGTCCTTTGGGATCGAGGGAACCTTTTTTCTTTTACTGGGGGATTGGTTTTCATAACCATTCATCCCCATAACGAGTGGCACTGGTGGTGATACTGGGAAACTGGAGTGTCTAAGGGAATTGCTTGTGCGACTTGTGGGTAGCCAGTGGGGTGAGACCGAAGTCCCCTCTGTCTGACTGGTGCCTTGGTATGCCAAGGACCCCCAGCCTGGGGCTGGGAATGCCCTGCTCTGAGCAATCTGAATTGGTACCTCAGAAGTGTCCCACCAAAGGCAGCATCGTTACACACCATGTTTACCATAAAATAAATCAAACGGAATATAAATACGGTACTTACGTTTCCGTGGATAGGCCACAGAGCAGTATAAACAAGTCGTGGTATTAAATTTTCATTGGTACTGACCTCGCTAGCGCTTTTTATGTCGCCTGTTGTAAAACTCAGCCAATGGCTAGAAGACGTCCCCCCGGGAAGAGCTCTGGTACCCCTGGTTGAGAACCACTAGACATTTCTGTCCCTTTTTGAAACTTACGATCAGAACGCCCTCGTGTGTCTCTGCGTTTACCTGCCTTAACCTGGTAAGCGTCTCTCTTATTTCCTTTCCCTAGTTAATAACTCTTCCCACCGTTTATTACAAGCGTCATCTTTGGTGCGAGACCTACGGGGCGGTGGGCGAGGGGTGCGGGACGGGTCCTTTGGGAGTAACCTGAGTAGTGCTGTGATTCTTAGCGTAAGGTGGGCTCACCTAGGTGGCGAGACAGATTGGAGTAGGGCAGCCCATTTTGGTCGGACGTATTCCTGGAGGTTTCGGCTCGTGGCTCGTTAATTAAAGACAGTCCTGGAGGGGTGGCAGCCCTAGATCGGAGGAGCCCAGGAGACTGCCTGTGACCCCACCTTAAGGCTGTATGGTGCCAGAGGACGATCCGGTGTGAACGCTAAGCAGAGAGCTCACAGCCGGTTTAGGGTGGGTGTCCCGCTTCCCATCCGTCTGCCCTGCGGCGGGACTCGTACTCCTGAGCTGTCGCAGGACAGCTCGGCACCCCCCAGCCGGAGAGGCTCGGCACCGAGCGGACGCAGCCCTGGCCGGGAGCTGCCCCCTCTGCGCCCCCCAGCTCGTTCCCCTCCCGCACACACGACTGACCGTAGCCCTCGAAGAGCCAGCTGAAGGTGGCTTGTTCCCCGCGCCCGCTGAAGTCCTCGGCTTGGTCCAGCAGGGCCTCCTTCACCGCCTGGTATCCGCACAGCACCACCACCCGCCGGGGGCCCAGGTGGAGGGTGTAGACGGGGCCGTAGCGCTCGCTGATCTGAGGCGGAGACGCCGTGTGGGACGGGGGGACGGAGTGTTGGGGGGACGGACGTGCGCCCTCTCCTCACTCCCACGTACCAGCCTCGGTCCCCCAAACACAGGGCACCTGCTGTCACTCCCCCTCCTCACCCCACACGCATCCCCATGCCCTTCCCCCAACTCAGCAGCCTCTCCCCCCCCGATACATACAGAGCACCCCCTCTCCCCTGCCTGTAGCCCCCTCCCCTCCCAGCACTCCCACCCCTCTGGAGCCCCCTCCCCCAATTGCAGCACTCCTGCCCTTTCTCCACACCACCCCATACCCTCCTCACCCCCACCCTTTCTCTTCCCCTTCCACTCCCCTCAAACCCCAGTTCCTCTCCCCCAACACAGCACCCCTGCCCCATAGCTATCCTGGGTCGAGGTCATCACAAAGTATTAATAAAGCTCCCTGGCCATCGACGGGCGGGGTCACCCATACGGGGTCAGGGCTCCCTGGGTCGTCCCGGGACGGGGCCACCTACCTTCATCAGCGACTTGCGCATGTCGCTGAGCTCGACCTGCAGCAGGTTCCCGAGGAGGGGCAGCGGGGTGGGCCCCGGGGGCATTTGCCCCCGGCCCTGCATTTGCCGCCAGGTGGAGAGGAGCAGGAGGTAGGACAGGCCGATGACCAGGAACAGGGCGACGGCTCCTAGGAGATCCATGGCGGGCTGGGACCTTCCACCTCTCCTGTGCCCGTCTGTGCTCGAGTCAGCTCTGCTGGCGGGCGGCGCGATTGCACAACCGATTATGCAGTCAGGGTCTGGGCTCCTTCCAGAGAAAGCCCTGGAGTCCAAATTCCACATGTGCAGAAAAGCTGCGGCGGTATCTCCTCTATCTGCAGCGAGGGCTTGCTGACGTCCGTGCTTCGCTCCCCATCTTCAGCAGGGACGTGGCCGGGGGGCGGGTAATGGGAGGGAGCAGCATTTTAAACTGCTTTACGCAAGAACGTAGGAGTGAGGGGCCCTCCTGCTCACCAGCCCCTGCCAGCTCTAAAATCCCAGACAGACACTTGTCAAGCTCCAACTTCAGACAATTTCGGTTGTTTTCCCCCCGCTGCTCCATGGGGGCTCCTGCTCCAGAATCTCACGCCTCTGCAGCGTCCTGACCGGACCAGGAGCACCCCGCCCCCCCAGATCCCACCTGGGATGTGAGACTCCGGGCTGGTCTGCACTAAAGCGAGGTCAACCCAGCTGTGTCACTCGGGGTGCGAAAAATCCACTCCCCCTATGCAACGTAGTTAAGCCAACCGGGGCCCTGGTGTAGACAGAATTCCTCCATCCACCTGGCTCCCACTTCTGGGGGCGGTGGATTAACCACGCCCAGGGGAGACCCCTTCCCAGCAGCGTAGGTAGCGTGCGCACCCAAGTATCGCCGCTGCATCGCTCGGGGTTGCCAGTGGCGGTTTCACAGCATGATGTGATCTCTAATTCATCTGGAATTCCTGGAGACTCCAGGACAGTCCTGGAGGGCTGGCAGCACCGGTGCAGCATTTCACGCGTAGACGAGGCCCCTCTGCTTTCCCCAGCGTGTCCTTTTCCTTCCCTGCCTTTTTTCTCTGCTTTCCACCCCTCTCCCTTTCCTCCTGACTGATAAGAATCTGGCTTCGCTGGCCAAGGCTGCATATTTCACGAGGAAGAACTGGACCAGAAGCTGGCAGAAGTTTGTGAGGCCCCAAAGCGGCTGATTTCCCAGGCCTGAGGCTGCAGCTGCACGTTCGGCCTTTGCCAGCCTCTAGTTCGGGCCCCTTTTGCGTGGGTTCGTCTCATGTTGCTGCCTAGAGAACAGCAGCAACACCCACTCCAGCCCGGCTCCATCAAGTTCCCTCTCGCTCATAGAGTCATGGACAAAGGAGACCCTGTTACCATCTTCCATGCGCCCCCCACCTCCCAGAAAACAACCAAAGACCAGGGCTCAGGGTTAAAAAACCCTAATTCAACCCTTTCCACTCCAGAGGCTTCCACTGGGGTTTTTCTCTTTCTTTCCTGCAGCGTTAATTAATACAAAGTTTAAAGGCGTGTTAATGGCGTTTGCTGGGGGGCTGGGCAGGGTGAGGTCCCTGCGTATCAACCCCCAAACCTGGTTTAATCGACGTTGACAGTGTCAGGGTCATCTTAGCACCTTTGACCCTTGGGGCTGATTTATTCCAGCTAAATGAATGCAAGACACCCCACCCCCACCCCCATCTGTCTGTCCATCCCCCCATCCCCTTTCTCACTCACACACACTATCTTTCCCCTGGCCCCCCGTCCATGCTGGACCCCTCTCGCTGGCTAACCACGTGCTCCCGTCCTCGCGGGAGCAGTGGGACCACCCTCGGGCTGCAGCAGAAGCGCTTTGTGCCCACGGCAGCCAAGCGAACGGTTGGCACTGCCCGGCGAAAGGAAGCTGTGGCTGTCCTTGTGCCAGCCAAGCCCAGGCGAGATCACCCCTCGGGGCCCCTGGCACAAGGGCAAGCCTCCTTGGATCCAGCACCTCCTGGCTCTGACCTCGGCACATTCAGCCCCGCAGGGAGGACCCCCGGATGGGCCACTTGGGGAAGCTTCCACGCCCCCCCCAAAGGTGCCCTGCACCCCAACTCCGCAGTCAGTGTGTAAAACAGAAGGTTTATCAGTTCCCCTCCTCCATCCTTTGCCTCTTTCCCGGCCAAACCGCTCCCCTGGCCTCCACCTCTATCTTTGTTCTCCGACGGCTCCGGCTGGCTCCTGGCAGCGGATGGACCCTGGCCATCAGGTCCCAGGCTACAGAGTCCGGCTATTGTCTGGGTCCAGAGAGCCAGCCGGTAGTCAGACCTGCCCTCCAGAGGTCTCTGCAATGATCACACACCCTTGTCTTGCCACCTGTACTTGTGCCACGCATAGGGGAAACTGAGGCACGTACAATAGTCCTAGAGAACATTAAGGAAATTCCCACCTCGTCACAGCCACTGACTGACATGCCGTCCTGCGCCAGTGAGGACCCACCCACCCGCTAGTACATTATGTGATGTTTGGATAGCCGCAAACACCCGAACGCTTCTTTAATGCTGATCAACAAGCGGGCTCGGTCTCTGGGCTGGAGGGACCCCAGAGACACCCAAGGTGCAACCTACGCTGGCCTCCAACCCCCGGGGTTTTGGGTCAAATCACAAAACTCAAAGCCCACAAACAAAGCTCTTTCAAAGTCTTTGCTGGAAATCCGGCCCCTGATTAAATCAGCCCCCTTCTCCCTTGTCTCCATGATCTAATACAGGGGTCTCAAACTCAAATCACCACGAGGGCCACATGAGGACTAGTGCATTGGCCCGAGGGCTGCA